ATACTGTGAGCGTCAATAAGCATCAAAATGGCGGCAACTGGCGGTAACGGTAATTGTGTAAATTTTAGTACTTTCTGGATCATTCAGCGGGATTATAAAGAATTTAACAATTAATAAATAAATTAAATTTGGTTAGCTTATGCTTAATTAATAGTAATATTAAAATTAAAATTTAAAATTATTTAAAATTAATTGAATTTAAAATTAATTAATTTAATATTAATATTAATACTAAAAAATAAATGTGATATACAACTTGGCATTTTTGCGGGATTATAAAGAATTTAATAATTAATAAATAAATAAAATTTGGTTAGCTTATGCTTAATTAATAGTAATATTAAATTTATAATTTAAAATTATTTAAAATTAATTAAATTTAAAATTAATCAATATTAATATTAATATTAAAAAATAATTGTGATATACAGCTTGCCATTTTTGCGGGATTATAAAGAATTTGACAATTAATAAATGAATGAAATGACAGATAGTAAAAACAACTGACGCTCACGCTCACGCTGCCCTACCTCTGTGGCGTGAGCACGTATGAGCGCAAAATATGTGCTACGAGCATCCCACGATGGTGCTACGAGCGTACTTATGTGACACTCACAGCGCCAAGTCGAACGATGAAAGCGCGCTCACGGCGTGCTCACAGCGCGTAAGCGTCCAAGTCGAACGCACCCATATTTAGGGACAGGACGCATGACAATAAGATGAATTATTTTATAATTTGAATAGTATAATAACAAATTAGGATTTATTGCTGCTATCCTGAATAAAAGTAATAAAACATAGAATTGGACCAGGGTTGGGAGTAAGGCGTTAACGGGTTGAGTTAAACACGTAAATTTTTTTTTAATGAACAATTATGTAACACCATAGTATTACGTATTGTTATAAATTTTGTTTATTTAATTCTGAAGGAAAGCAATGTAGATAAACTATTTTCTTATATTTACCAATTTATGTCACTTTGCACTTTGTGGACAATATGGCTCATATTCTATACAATTATTTTTATTTTATAAATGTGATTAGTTGTATTCTTTACTTATTTATTTATTCAATTTTTTATGTTTTTATGCCCTTATTTGATTATTTATTTATTTTTCATGTGTTTTATATATTTGATATCTACACATGAGAAATATTAAAAGTAGAATATAGTATTTGCATAAGTAGAATATAGTATTTTCAAAATGGTATCATATGATCGAGATATTACAATTACTAGTTGATATAAGTGGCATTTTGAATCAAGACGGAATGCAAAAACTTGCCGAAAAGTGTAAATAACCGACATAATGAATACAGATTGAGATATAATTAAGTTGTGAAATTTAAATGATTTTTTTCAATTGAACGACTTTATGCGGGCCTATAATATTTGATGATGTTCAAGACCACAAACTATCATAAGAGAAAGTTTAATTGAAAACCGTAAAAAAATTTTGTTAACAATTAATTACGCAGAAACTGCTTAACCGATATTTATCGAAAACCAATCAGCATAAATCTTTAACTTCTACCTCTATAATGGTTATTAATTTAATTTGCTAAGTCGGTTCAAAATTATTTGCAAAAACGTGGGTAAAAAGTTTTGCAAAACTACTCAACACTTGTTCTTATCGAGTTTATTCGAATGGCTTTTTAAATTTTTGCAATCCGTTCTACCCTTTTTAACAAAATGAAGGCATAAGGTCAAATTTAAAAATTATCTAGTAATCCATGGCACGGTGCCTTAAGGCAATTTGCTGAACTTTTCCGTACCCAAAAATATTTTTTTAAAAGCATTACATATTTTTAAAAAATATAGAGTAGCTGTTTTAGAGACGAAATATCGAAGCGCGTAAGCGCCATGTCGCAGTCTAACGGATGAACATTGGCACATAACCCATAGAAATGTATACTCACTATTAAAATCTCTATAAATAACTGGTAGTTTGATGTGCATTTATTGAATGAACGTTTTTGACTGCCCAATGACTTTTTTTTACTTTCTTCATTTAATCTCCGAAATCGCTAGACCTGTCTTACCAAAGTTTTAATCAATTCTTCATTTTGTCAATATAAGTAAAATAATTTTTGATTTATTGAAATTGGACGCTTTCAAAAACTGAATTACCAGTTTTGGCACCTTTTGCCTCGAATTTTCGAAATGGCACACAATCTAATCAGCACGTATCCTTATCAATAAGAATCGAATGTTTTTGGATTAATTCAATTGGTTGATCCGTGTTGTCGAAATCATAAACAGTTGTATCCGCACATGCATACATACATATACACACCTATTTTTTCTGATGTATGCCAAAATTTTCAGAAGGTTTTGAAACATGAAATATATATAAAAAATATATTTTCGATTTTTGTGCGATTACAGAACCTCACGGACAGTCAAACACGTCATACTTTTTATTTTAAAACTCAAAGACCTGAAACGTTAAGAAAACATGTAGTTAAAATTCAAACTTCTTCGAGAAGTTGAAAAATAAATATTGGCCATCAATATAGCAACTGATATCAACCTTTCAGTGTAGTCTGGGTTAATTATCAGCTACACAATCACGATTTGTGTAAACGTAGCCCGAGTCGATCCCAACGAGATAATATATGATAGCAGTGGAAGAAAGTTCAGCGGTATCTCGATGATGTTAGTTTCCCAACGGTGAAATAAATAGCTCCCCTGGCGATGCCGCCCTCATTAAATGCGAATCTGAAGTGGGCCAGAGTTTCGATCTCGGATGCCGCGCTCCATATAGTCACAAGAATAGGCGATGATAGGCCGGGATGCTGTTACATTTCTATAGTTCACGACACTGAGGCAGCACAGGAGAATGCAATTATGTTCTTGAATCTTTAAATGATACCGTTATACTATCTCCAGCATAGTGTCTCCTTCTCTAAAGGAATTACGGCGAGACTTATTTTTAGATATCTTCGCAAAATAAAAGGCAAGACATGTGCACTCTAATATTTTAAAACATGGTTCAACAATAGTGAAGGAGATAAAAAATGTAACACGACGATGAACCTAATAAAACCATAAGAACAAAAAATAGCTTTTTTACGAGTTCGGGCGGAATTCTAACTCTTCAAATTTTTTTGCAGAATCAGTCAGCTTCTAATATATTGATTATCTTATATAGAAATAGGAAAATATAAAAATCAACATGTTTTCATAAACATGCAAAAAATAATATATAGACAAAAATAATAATACAGCCAAATGAAATATACTGTAATATAAGCTAAACGCGCTTTTACAAATTTCAGTTTTTATAACACAATATTCTTTTTTAATTACCATCGCTGGTAATAATAAATGTAAATAAATGCGAATCTAAATAGGTTGGTGTAGTCGACCTTGGCCTCCAATGTGGCTCTTTTTATATATAGAAAAATAAACGACTAGATACCCGGATTTTGTAACATTAGTCTTACTAGAAACGTATGATTTTTCTGCGAAATTATAGTATTAAATGGTTCACTAATTGCTCACATCTTAAAAAATATATGTTTATTGCATATAAACTATTTCTAATAAAATTAAATGACAATTAAGATTTTGAACATTTCCATGTTTTGTAAATTTTTGTCATGTGAAAAGTTGAAATTGTGCTCTATCATGCTGATTAATTAGCTTTTCGTTTGGGCAGTTTATATTTAGTGTTTGAAAAATATTGAAAATACCAAAGAAGAAAATACCACCATTTCTTTGCAATTTAAAATAAGATATAATTTTTCACCAACATTTTATCAGGGAATCTCATTATGAAATTCAAAATTTAAAATATTATTTGAAAGGTATCCGTTAAGAATTTTGATTAGGTTTTGATAATGATTACTTAATCCTTCAGATTCTTGTAACGGTTAAAAGCAATTTAAAAGTTACAATTTTACAAACAATTTGCTGTTATATCTTATATTATCCCCAAACATTGCATCAAGATAAACGTCTTGATTAACTTCCCGTAGGGTAAGTTATTGTAATGGGCCGAAAATCGAAATTGAAATTTTTTACATTTCTCGACGTTTTGAAGGTTTCTGAACATTTTGGCATACCTCAGAAAAAATGGATGTGTGTGTGTGTATGTATGTATGGGTACAAATTTCCAATCACGTTTTCGGGCGCACCGATTCAACCGATTTGAATGGTTCAAAATACATTCGATTCATATTCATAGGGAGATGTGCTGATTAGTTTTTGGCAAAGGCAGGTCCAGCAGTTACGTAGATAAAGAGCAAAGAGTGCAGAAAATAGAAATCGAGGTTTTGATAGAACCGATTTGAATGATTTAAAAAACATCAATTAGTAATGATTGGGAGAAGTGTTTATTAGTTTTTGGCAAAGGCAGGTACACCCATTTTGAAGATATGAAGCTAAATGTATAAAAAATGGCAGTTTTTGAGAAAACTAAGCGTCCGATTTAAATAATTCAAAGAAATTTCTGCTTGTCTTAACAAAATAATTGATTTTGTTTTAACCTTTTTTTTCAAAAAAAATTTTTTTTGTATCAAAAATAATTCAGATTTTATTTTTAATTCTGATTATAGTTCTAATTTAAACAAATAATTTCAACTTTGCAATTGAGTTTATATAATTCTTATGAATATTAGACAATGTTACAATATTTATTTAAAATAATCTATTTGAAAACATTTAAAATTCCACGAACATTTCGTTACGGTACGGGAAGTTCCAGCAATTTGCCTTAAGGCACGATGCCATACACCCCACTAGTTTCGATTTAATATTGAAAAATATTTTTAATATTTTTCTTCTTTAAACGATGTGGTATACTTATAGTTAAATTGACTTGGTTCTGGTATATGTTTGGTCATCAACATTTGTAATCCTTAAAACATATCGCATGAAATTTACTTACGTACAATCTACATAAATATTGTATCATTTTATGAAAAGTATTGATTGCAAAGCGTTCGGTTCCTGGTGAAGTAAAAATCAAATAAATTTCTTTCTTTCATTCCAGGTGGAATTGGAAGGTCTGACAGGTGAGATCCGTTTCAACGAAGACGGGCGCCGTCAAAACTACAGTTTACAAGTTATGGAAATGAGCACGTCCAGCGCGATGGTCAAAGTAGCCGATTGGACGGACCAGTCCGGGTTAGCGCCGGTTGTGGCTAAATTTACGCGTCCGAGAAACCAGGAAATTGAACGGAATAAGACATATATCGTTACCACTATAGTTGAAGAACCTTACATAATGATGAGGAAGCCGGACCACGGAGAAACACTTGTCGGCAACGAGAGGTTCGAAGGATATTGCAAAGATTTAGCGGATCTGCTGGCGAAGCGACTGGGAATCACATGTAAGATTAAATTCATTCAATTTTTACACATAGTTTGTGTATTTTTCGACATCAATTCAATTATCTGCAAGAACACTGTAATGATTTCAATATTACATTCATGAAAAATTGCTCATATAGAGATACTTAAATAATATATAAGTAAAGTAGTGTAATTGTTTGAAAATTCTATGCGCGGGCTGTTTTTATGTTGATGATAAGATTGACACTTTGAATTACACAAAAACTATAATCTTTAAAATAAAAGATTTTATTCTTGTCACGATTTTCTGTGAAATTTTACGTTTATCACATTCTGTAACATTCAACCAGATTACCTTAAAATATTACAATTACTATATGAAACAGCGTGTAAAGTTAATTTCAGTGATTTATTTATTGGAAATGCATAAGATGATGAAAGTTTGAAAATATATCTAACTATGTAAATGTGTATTGAAAGTATAATTTGCGTTTGTCTTCAATATTAAATTTTCATATAGAAAATAACTAATATAAGAAATATTTATAAATTGCGAAAGATTTGTTCATGAACAAATTGTTGTTTATGTAATCGGTAATTATTATTTATATTTAAATGGTTTATTGTGCGCTTGTAATTACCATTTAAATTTTTTTCTCTAAAAACTTTTGACATAACCGAAAGAAACGTTTTCATGTGTCGCAATATGTGAGTATGTATTATTGAATAAAATTATACTATTTGAAAGCGTTAGAAAAATTCAAATTGTATTCACCATTGTTTTATTAGGACGTCAATATAAAAGTGAATATAAAAAGCGGAGCAATGAAAAATATAAATATTTTAAATGTTAAATTTAAATTCAAAAACTTATTTTAAAATATTTTTTTTTATTTCCTCACCAATTTTCTTGATTTTGATAATAGATTAATGCATTTTAGTGTGATGCAACAACAAGTACGACCCTAAAATTTTACCTTTATACCTCAAAACCTTTATTTGATTATAGTCCAATCATTTTGCATCTAGCTCGGTAACTAATCAATTGTTTTTTTGTGAACGTTTTTCATTAAATTTTGATCGAGACTTTTCGGATCTGATTGAAAAGCTTACATTTATTTGGTTTATCCGCTGAAACATTTTCAAAACAATTCTTTGATATTGGCGACGAAAAGAATGCCATCGATAAAACTTGAAGCGTCAAATTATAAATAGTTTTTTGCATAATCATTGATTCGCGCAGGATTCTTCATTTGTATAAATATTTTCCGACAAAAGAAAACAGCAAAGAAATCAAATATTAAAAATTAAAATTTGTAGAAATAACAGTTGTTCAGAAGAAACTAGGGTTTGTCGGTTTTCAAATACCGGTTCTAAAAACCGGTTTTTTGACTAAAATTATGGGATTCAAAAACCGTTTTTTTTAGTAAAAAAAGTCGGCTTTCACTGTAGAAATGGAAAATAACAAATATATCCAAATAAAGATAGATGAAAGTGTTTTGATTCTTGAAATCATATCGGTTCAATAGCATTTGATATCTTATCAGTGTGCAATGGTTCCCAGAAAGGTTTTGTTCATATTAATTTAAATTGAGTTAAACCAGAGTATATATTAATTTCAATCAGTGTGACTTCTTGAAGAAGTAACTTCCTCTACACAAACTTTAAAAAAAGAGTTTTAATCCCTAGACGTCACAAATTAAAGAACAAAAAACTTAGAATTAGTATATTAGGCTTTAAAAATAATTAAGCATAATTTGGTCGCAAGTATGAGAGTATTTTCTATTTCAGAAAATTTTGTGAGTAAACAATAAAGGACACGTCTAAGTAGCAATTCGATACACGTTCTCAGTTTTTTTTAAATCATATTTTATTAAACAAAAAAAATCAGAATGTTTAAAATTAATTAATTTTAATTAATTAAAATTGCTCGGAACAGACAGTACGCGAGTTTATTTTAATTGTTTTTAAAACTAAAATTGATATTGACAAGTATGTATCAACTTGTATCTAATATTTTTTTATTTTATTTAATTCAATGAATGTCTTTTATTTAAAAATGTATTGTTTTTATTTATTGGAAAACTTTCCTTTCACTATAATAAAAATATTTTCATTCTTATATGTGAAAATAATGCATGAATGACGAATAGTTATTTTCAAAGTTATTTTATCAAGATAAACTATTATTTTTTTAGTTTTACTAATTAAAATTAAAATAATTTTGTTTATTATCTATAAAATTGAACAATAAATAAATTCAGTCAAATACTGCTTTAAATTACACTAAATTTGCGGATAAATTACAGGATATTCGAGCAAAAATTTATTTTCTATATAAAATTCGAAAACCGGTTAAAACCGGTTTTTTAGTAAAATTAAAATTCGAAAACCGGTTTTCTGAAATGTCGGTTTTTGTATAAACCCTAGAAGAAACTAAGTTCAATGCTAATCTAAGGCACAGAATTTTTGGAATCTTTCATTCAGTTAGCTACACATAAATAAAAAATGAGTATTCGGATGTTGCTTCATATTAAAAAAAATATTATTGAATTTATGAAAAATCTGAAAATAATATGTGAAAACCTTGAATCTCAAAATGTGGCTACAAAATGTGAATAAAATCATTTTAAGATCAAGCTGGCACTTGCAGTAACTATTAATGTGACCCAGGAACATTTATCAGTGGCATGGGTTGCGGTTGGTAAATCAAATTTAATTGGTGTTCGCTGCCCCTTTCACCACATACCTCAGGATTAGTTATTTTTTACGTTCCCAAAGAATGAGTTTAACCTTCCCGTATGGTATTCACGTTTTGCGAGAGCAGGGCATCCGATTCGAATAATTTAAAAATTAAACATTTAATTTCTATTGTAAGGGAGATATGCTGATTTTAATATGCTGATAAAGAGAACGCTAGTTTTTGGCAAAGAGAAACAGTTACAGTTTTTGAGAAAACAAAGCTTCTGGTTTTAATGATTTGCTTGTGATGAGCCTGAAGATTAGCTCGATCAGAAGTACCAGAAATTTGCCTTTAGGAACGATGCCATGCTAAATTTGCCAGAAATATTTTTTATGGCTTAACAACTTTGGTCGCGTCAGTTAGTATATATAATATGTATATATGTATATACATACACGAAATATTCTTAATCATTCAGTTTGTTACATGACATACGCGTATTATTTGCGTTATAAGACATAAAGCATAGCGCGCTGCCATTTTATTTAGAAATGCTGGTTACGATAATCAAAAGCTTAGCCTTTGTGTGTGCGTAATCAAAAGTCGAGTCAAATCGAAGTAAATAAAACACACGGCGTTGTTCATTATTTGAAGTCGCAATTCTAAATCTATTTCTTCTCCTGTATTCAAAAACTGATTGCACGTACGGCCGGGCCGATATAGCAGGCACGTGAGCGGGCGCCGGGACACGTCTAGACATATTTCGGCGTGCCTCGACGCATACGATAATGAGGATTCGCGTAATCGTCGAAATTGCGATACGATTGTCTCTATAGCACTTTGTCGTTTCAGTCAGGACGCCCGAGAGATAGGAACATATATTTATTAAATCAGAGGTTAAATTCACAACAACCATTATATTAGTGGTTCATTAAATTTTGAAAACCTGTGCTAACTTGTTGTCTTTTTATCATTGAGCCCAATAGCTAGGAAAATCTATTCATTATATCTTTATTCCTTATTTATACTCATATATATATATATATATATATATATATATATATATATATGCGTGTGTGTGAGGGGGTATATATAAGAATGGTCCTTAATATGGATATTTCCGATTTTTTAAGTGAAACTTCTTTAGACGCGACATGGGTGTGAAATTGTACGAATGCAACGGACGTGAGTTACGGCAAGGTCGAGTGCCAATGATTTGTCATTTGCTCTCGATGATCTCTATACGGGTTCAATTGTGATTGGTCGTATTTGTGCGAGGCTTCTTTGTATGCGTGATTTTATACGTGCGTGCGTTACCGAAATCGTGAAGCATATTGTTCATTTATCGGTGTTTGATGTCATTACATTTTAAGGTTAAATATTAGTACAAATCTGGAGTTAGTAAAAATTGGATCGGAAGAATATTTTATTTCGCCCCCCCTGAATAATTATAGTGCAAATAATAAAGCATATGAAAAATCTGTGTCGTGTAAAACACGTAAGTTTATTGAAGTACTTTGTATTATTCGTGGTTACTATATATTTTTGAGGCTATTAGAATGAAAATTATTTTTATATGCAAGACAGATAAGTTCTTCAAACACAATTATATGAGAAGTAAAATTGTGAAAACAATATTTATTTAGGCGTTGTTTAATAAAATATGTCTTGCCTAAAAAATATTTTTCATTTTAATAACTTCAAAGATTTATAGAAACTATGAATAATATAGAAATAATTTCTAATCAATAAACTTACATTTAGTACACGACCCAAATGTTTAATTTGTTTTATTATTTTCAAGGAACAGGGTAAAATATTCTTCTGATTCAGGCATTTTTCATTAAATCAATATTTGTACTACGATGTAACTTCAAAATGTTTATTTATCTATGCCGATTTTCTTGTTGATATCGGAACGCATACAACGTTGATGGTGGTACGCATACAACTACAGATCTCTATTCACATGCACAACGACTATTCACAATCGACCCGTATAGAAATGATCTCATCGAGAGCGAATGACTAACAGTTGGGGCGCAACCGACTTCCGTTTCATTTGTATGGATTTACACCTTAGTCACGACTAAAGAAGTTTTACTTGAAAATCTTATTTCGACGACTATTTAACTCAGAATAAGTGATAATTGCTCATTACTATTATTGCGCACACGGCGTGCAACGGTCTTATAGCCTCGGAAAGCAATTGCACACACGATGTGCAATTCGTCTCAAATGGGTTAAGAAGTAAAATTTCATGCATTTTTATTTCAAAATCGGTTAATTTGTAACCTGTAAAATTCATAAACGGATAAACTCTCATACGCTACAAAAACAATATGGGCCTGCGTGGCTAGCATGTATAAATATTTCGACAATTCTTTTTCGAATTTTGGAATTTATTTCTAGCGTATATTTTGTTTCAGATGAGCTGCGAATCGTCAAGGACGGCAACTACGGAGCAGAGAATCCCGATGTCAAAGGAGGCTGGGATGGCATGGTCGGAGAGCTTATACGTCACGTGAGTCGCTTAATCAGATTACAGTATATGATTTAGTCTGTATGTAGAGTATGTACATGTAGATTGTTACAATTTTCGAAAATGAATTTGAATACGATTACGTAGGTATGACAATTCTGTACGTGCACAGAAAGGAGGTACAGAGTTGGATGGATTAAGATATATGCTCGTAATTGAAATTGAGAGAGAATAATTATACTACCATGTATTATTTATGGTTTTTCAAATTATTAAAATTATAATATTTAGCAGAAATTAATTTTTCTTATATAAATGCGATTTGCTTCCTCTATTCGTGTACGATCAGTACAACTACAAACGATTTTGTGCTTCAAAAGGATTTTTTACAAATTCATAGAAACTACAGACAGTTCAAAATAAGACACTATGACTAGTACTTGACAAAATAAGAGACCCACTGACTAGACACTGACTACTGTACAAAATATAATACATAAATGAACAGACTGACGTATCGACAATACTAGACCGATAAGAAGCTCACTGAAAATTTTTACCAGAAATGTGGGGATCACCCTAATACCAACATTGCGGGTCTCGGCCAATTTACTAAAGAGATATTTTGGTATGGCAAACACGCCATGCCAAACTATATCTCGATCGACCCATAGCAGCAGATGATACTTGGCTCGTCAATGATTTTTCTTCAGAGCGAATAAATCTTTTGTTTTTTTTTTGTGTAATCATTTATCATTATAAATATTGTTATGTTTTTTTTTTTTGGGGGGGGGTATTTTTCCTTCCTCCTTTTTTGTCACAATTATGACTTATTTTTCATTCACTTTTATGCACAAAATACCGGCAAGAATGTATAATCTAAATATCGCTATTTTTTTAAAGTGTGTAGTTGAAAATATCCAATATCCCAAAATCTCAAAATTATTTGACACGTTCGACGATAGTAATTAATTTTATATATTAAAGTAAACTTTGATATAAAATATATGATAAAACATTTAAAATAATAAGACTATAGATGCTGAACATACATACCAACAAAAAAAGTTAAGAAATTTAATTGGAAATTTTCATTTATAAAATGTACTCAGAGTGAAGATGTATTTAGTATTTCAAATAATTTTTTTGCGAGTTTTGATGTTTGTTGAGTGTCTGAATTAGAAAATGTACAATCACTTTGGTAAAAAGTAAATTATTTTCAACTTCATAGTAATTAAAAACGTGGAATGAAACGATTAAAAAAAATAATAATTTATTAAATCAAATAATCGATCAATAAACATAATGTGTTCAAATTCGCAATATTAAATCTTAAGACAGGCTTCTCGCGTAAAATTAATTTCCTCTTGAATATTCTACACACTCAGTTTTAAATTACAATTTGATCTCATATATATATATATATATATATATATATATATATATATATATATATATATATATATATAATATAATATTATATATATATAATATATAATATTCGTACCGATAGTACAGAAGCGACTTAATTGTGCCCACAGTTTGTAAGGTATCCGTAAAGTAATTTTCTATTGTAGAAGACGTTCAATGCACAAAATGATTAAGTCCATAAAATATAATTTAAGTTGTTAAACTTGAAGAATAATGAAATAGTGTACATTGTTAAATTAAAATATATGATATATAATGTAATGTAATATGAAAATTTATAACTGTACCAAATACTTAAAACGTTTACATGACATAATTTTAATATTAAACGAACATCGACGGGCGTATTGAGCATTTATAATACTCGAAACATTAAAAAAAATTCTGGATCATTCCGCAGTGGATTAAGTAAATGCCATAGTTCTTTTTTGACTATTTAATATCATATAATTTTTGAGATGTATTACGTTTGTTTTTTTAGAGTATTACAACAGCAACGTTAATAATTGTCCATAAGATTATCTATTGTCAAACAAATAAAAAAAAACACGTTAAATAATATACACCATATTTAATAATAATTCATTTAAATCCATTTCCACCATCAGCAAAACTCATGTAAACGCTTGCCTTTTTGATATATAAACAAGATATTTTTCCATATAAATTACAGCTATAGAAATGTGTAATGTGTTTTCGTTATTCACATGTCCACGCTTTAATTTATGATTTCAACTACTCGTACATTTCCTGCGCTGAGGAAAGTGTACGAACAAATTATTTCCCTCAAACGGGTTATAAATACAACGCAACGCAAAAAGTGCAAACTGAAAACGAATATAATTCAAGTGGCGAAAAAGAGCGACTGCGGCGGAATAAAAATTACGCAAGGCAAAACAAACTATTGTATTAGAAAATTGTGAGCGAGAGAAAATGACCTAAACATAGAGTATATAGATAGAAATGATTAATTAACTTCCCGTAGGGTAAGTTATAGTAATCGCAAAAAAATCGAAAATGAAAATTTTTGCATTTCTCGACGTTTCAAAGGTTTCTGAATATTTTGGCATACCTTAGAAAAAATGGATGTATGTGTGTGTGTGTGTGTGTGTGTGTGTGTGTGTGTGTGTACGTGTGTGTATGTATGTGCGGATACAAATTTTCGTCGACGATTTCGGGAACACCGATCAACCGATTTGAATAATTCAAAAAACAGTCGATTTGTATTGATAAGGAGACGTGCTGATTAGTTTTTGGCGAAGTCAGGTCTAGCCGTTCCGAAGATACGGGGCAAAAAGTGCCGAAAACGGTGACTCAGTTTTTAAGAGAACGGAGCGTCCGATTTTAATAATTCAAAAACATTTTACTTGTATTGACAAGGTGAAAAACTGATCAAATTTTCATAAAGGCAGGTCTGGCGGTTTCGGAGATCTAATGAAAAAAGTAAAAAAAAATGACATTTGGCGGTCAAAAATGATCATTAGACATATGCACATCAAATTATCAGATATTTTATAGAGATTTTAACAAGAACTATAATTTTGGTTTACATTCCTATGGGTTCCGTACCAATGTTTACGCGTTAGACGTCGACGCGGCGCTTACGCGGTTTGATATTTCGTCTTTATGCAGTTAAAGCAGTACGATTGCTTTAAAAAAAAGTTTAGATCTTTCAAAATATGTCAAAATAAAGAAAACATTTTTTTCAAAAAAAAAAAATTAAAAAAAAAAATTAAAAAATTTTTTTTTTTCAAAAAAAAGTAATTTTTTGTTTAATTGTTTGTCAAAAATCTTATTTTTTCGAAGTAAATTTTTTTCAAAAATGTTAATCGTTTTTAAAAAAATAATTTTTGGTACGGGAAGTTCCAGCAATTTGCCTTAAGGCACGATGCCTTAATTGCCTTAAGACAGAATTCCACTTACAGCTAGTTTTGGTATTAAATTTATTTGAGGTTCTAGTTTGGACATAAACTAGTAGGTACATTGCACATTTCAAACAACTTGGCGAAACCAAACCCTAATGAAAAATATAACGCTTGAACAAAAATGTCGAAGTTTTAGGTTCGATAATCACAAAAAATCCCATTGCTACTGTTTCTGGATTTAAATACCACAAATCTTCTATGCCACCTCAGACATTTTAACATATGTCAATCAAATTTAATAAGTTCTTTTAAAAATGATAATTCATTATTAACTTCCCGTAGGGCAAGTTATAGTAATCGCAAAAAAATCGAAAATGAAAATGTTTATATATCTTTACGTTTCAGAGGTTTCTGAACATTTTGGCATACCTTAGAAAAAATGGATGTATGTGTGTGTGTGTGTGTGTGTGTGTATGTATGTATGTATGTATGTATGTATGTATGTATGTATGTATGTATGTGCGTGTGTGTATGTATGTGCGGATACAAATTTTCGTCGACGATTTCGGGAACACGGATCAACCGATTTGAATAATTCAAAAAACATTCGATTCGTATTAATAAGGAGACGTGCTGATTAGTTTTCGGCGAAAGCAGGTCTAGCCGTTCCAAAGATACGGGGCAAAAAGTGCCGAAAACGGTAACTCAGTTTTTAAGAGAACGGAGCGTCCGATTTGAATATTTTAAAAAACATTTTACTTGTATTGACAAGATAAAGAATTGATCAAATTTTCATGAAGGCAGGTCTAACGGTTTCGGAGATCTGATGAAAAAAGTAAAAAAAAATGCCATTTGGCGGTCAAAAATGATCATTAGACATATGCACATCAAATTATCAAATATTTTATAGAGATTTTAACAATAAGTATAAATTTTTTTTACATTTCTATGGGTTCCGTACCAATGTTTACGCGTTAGACGGCGACGCGGCGCTTACGGGCTTTGATATTTCGTCTTTATGCAGTTAAAGCAGTACGATTGCTCTGAAAAAAAGTTTAGATCTTCCAAAATATGTCAAAATAAAATAAAACATTTTTTTTTTAAAAAAAAAAATAAAAAAATATTTTTTTTTTCAAAAAAAAGTAATTTTTTGTCCAATATATAGTTTCTCAAAAATCTTATTTTTTCAAAGTAAATTTTTTTCAAAAATCTTAATCGTTTTTAAAAAAAAAATTTTGGTACGGGAAGTTCCAGCAATTTGCCTTAAGGCACGATGCCTTAATTGCCTTAAGACAGAATTCCACTTACAGCTAGTTTTCAGATTCAGATGCTAAAGCGCAAGTAAACCTTGCGTTGATATATACTGTAGCAATAAAATAACAAACCTTACTAAAATGTCTCGCTGAAAAAAAATGTAATTTTTTTCATAATTAATAGTATGAAGTATTTCATTATACCAATATTTACATACGTGCAAAACGTTTTCTCATATTAAAAATTCAAAAACTAATCGGCAGGACTAAAGTTTCACTAACATTGAAAATATCCTGGTCATAGACATAACGATGTATTTTAAGATATTCCTATTATTATCAATGAAAGTTATGCTCTTAATGAATTAGAAATTACAATAAAAAACTACTATTCTTAATAATTTAACTCATAGTGAAATGTGAAGCAAAGGCAAACACAGCATGCCGTCCACGAGCGATATCCGCACACACAGTACGTTATGCGAATGTCGTCCATGGACGACATTCGTAGTGAAAGGGTTAACAGTTGAAATTGAATTTTATCTTTGGCGGTTATTGAGTTTTTTCTAGAATGCATGTGAATCTGAAATTTATGGTATCAAAATACGTCGGTTCAGAATCATTTCTAACAATAAGGTAAATTAGGTTGTTTCCTCAAAATTTACCAATAACCTTCATTTGCGTGGACGGTTGTGACACTTGCCGTTGTCATATGATTTGATTTTATGACTAATCCATCGTATTTAACGACAGTATTTCAGTATTTTGACGTAGATAAATGTTCAAATTACCATTTAATATACTTTTACAGTAATTCTACCTAACTAGATAGGAGAAAAGTATATTAAATAGTAAAAATTATATCAAATAGTTAAAAATATATTAAATTGTTAATAAGTATATTAAATGATTGAAAATATGATAAATCTCTTAACAATATTATTGCTGATCAAAAAAATAAGTTGCACAACAGTACCCAGTCTGCCTTACGCAGTACTATATAAACGAAAATTGGAAGTACTAAGTTGCCCTCTCAAAAAAAAAAACAGATTAGAAATATAAGCTACTAAACGCAGCTTAAAAACACCTAGTTCATATCGCTGTTTGAAATAATTGATAGTAGATTATAGTTAGACCTTACGTAGAAATTTGCTGTTGGTTTCATAATTATAAGTATGAAATACAAATTTAATAAAACACTTTTTTGCAATAAAAATTCAAAAACTATACGTTTAAATTTTAAATAAAGTTGTAAATATTTATTTTCTAGACCTAGTTGTTTGTTCATAATTGTCGGTAGATTTTCTACAGTTAGTAAAATTATTCTAAAGAGTTTACGAAAATTCGAAATATCAAGAGATATCAGTTTAAAATATTTTTTTATTAGTTTGATAGATCGGCTATCAGGCTACATAATTGTATCAATTTCCAATGAAGATCATGTTTTGTCAAAATTTTATAAAATGTTCAATTTCTATAGCAATGGTAATGTGTCTCTTATGAAAAGGAGTAAATAAGCGCGTTTTCTTGTTTGCGCGTCCTTTCTCTTAACAAATGGACGGCAAAGCGATACTGCTGCAAGCAGCAAACACAATGCGTTGAACATTCGTTATATCGTTACGTACCAATAAAAAACCCCCGTTTGGGGGAGAACGGAAGAGAAAGATTTATTTGTTGATTGTGCGATGAATGTTACCGGAGACCAATTGCCATTGGGTCAAAAACGTACTTATTTTAGGGCCGACTGCCTAAAGGGTTTTGATGATCACGATTAGAATCGAATCGAGTTAAATTGAAATTGGAAAGTGGAACAAAAAGTGACAAATTGGCAACCGCAATAAAAGAGGCTTCGGAAAATGCATTTATGGCTAGATGTAACAGATTCTTGTAAATAGTAAATTTAATTGAAAAAAAATAGGCTAGACAACAACTAGCGAGTTTAGCTTTGTTAGAGAAATTTACTATATAATTTGACAGTTTGACTTCTGGAAGTTGTTTCTAGTGCAGGAAACACACACATAAACAGTATAAATGAGTAGGAAACAGCACCTACTCATTTTCTCAAGTTCGAACCCCGCCAGAGTAAATTTTTATTTTTAATTTTAGTTTTACATCTATGTGGTTAAATATTATAATAAATAATTAATTAGGGAATTAATGACATTACAATGTATTAATATGGAAAGCAATGCTTCGAGATATGTGAAACTCAACATGCGAGCATGGTTACGGACCGAATCTATAGATTTCATTAAATTTTTTTCTAACAAAATAATTACGAAGGCATAAATTGTTAAATTAGAGTGAAGAAAAGTTAACGAGATATTGTTAATAAATATCTAATTCAAAATAGACTTACGTAATTCAAGACATCGAACAGCAAAGCCATACCGCACATGACACTACGTGACACTTAACCCGAATTCAAATCGAAATTGAGCTCAGGTACTTCCAAGTACTCTCGAAGTAAAATCAGCAAATCACACAGTACCTATAATATATTAAAAGTTATAAAAGATGTCAACACATGAAAATACATAATGTTTTTAACTACGGATTAGGCGTATAAATTTTATATCAAATCAACATTTTTAACTTAAAATAATTAATTGTATAATACATAATAGCATTTATGTTACAGCTAGCCCCAAACACGGGATTAGTTGCAAATAGTAAACAAATAATTAATTAGAATTAGTTAGTTAAAATAATTAATTGTGATCCGCAACCCCTAGGCATCTTGCGGGTTTTAAATATTTTGCAGCGACCCGCCAAGCATTTCCAAAGTAGAATTTTATTTGTTTCATCAACGTTGTTCCATTAATAAATTAATTATAATGTAATCTTTTCTTGTTGCAATAATCTATGAAATATTTACTTCTTTTAAATATGGTACGTTATAATGTTTACTAATATATATCTAGTTTTGTAAGTGTTTAAAAAATTAGACCAGCTACAAAATTTTTAAATTTAATTATGGCATGCGAACTAGTCTTTCTACATGAGGCAAAACGATCGCGCAATTCGAAAATTTATCTTAAAAGAGAGAGAGTACATAAAAATCGATATAAATTATTTTATTGTGAAGCGATTAAAAAAACTCATGTCGTTAACTGTAAGTATAAGGAAAGTGGATCGATGCAATAAGCCTTTTGGAAATTGCTTTGAACATTATCATGCCGCAGAAAATAAATTTAGATATTATTGTAAATGTATGGCTTTCAATGTCCACAAATTCATATCAAACATATTGTATAGTATTAACAATAATATATATATATATATATATATATATATATACAATAGGTAAATTTTCGTCAGAGCTCGGCAGCGAGTTGCTGGAAGATTGTTTTAAAGCAGTGCCGCGTTAAATAAGGGTTAAATATATATTTAATGGTTTTATTTGTAATATTTATATTTATACATTATATATATATATATATATGTGTGTGTGTGTGTATGTGTGTGTGTGAACAAATACATTTACCCAAAACCTAATATTGTAAGCAACAATGGCATAATAACTTCTAAGCTTTGGCGATCAAAATTAAATAGCACATATATATTATGTAACAAAAATAGCTTCTCCTCATAAATTGCCGAACGCCCACCAGTATGAAATTGATAGACTACCGAATCTTCCGAGCTCGACAGTCTAAATTGAACGTTTACCATCGGCGAAGAGATATATCTGTTGTGGGCCGGACGGTCATTTTTTGAATAGACTCCTAGGCTCTCAATTATTTACAAAACGCGCCAGAGATGCGAAGATTTCGCACGGGGTGCTACCGTCTCTTATAAAGAAGGGCGCTTCTGTGCCCCTGTGAATAGCAGCAGCCCCCGAGCGATCGAGGAACGAAGAAAAATATTGCCGAACGCTGTATTCGGAACGCCCACGCGTTGCGGTGGAAATAGTGGGAGCGCCGAGATAGATTTTCATGTAGAAAAAGTTGAAGTATTGTTATAGTTTTTTAGTCATAAATATTTAGAAATAAGCCTCTTTACGAGTTTTGTCTTTTGCTCAATAACATTGATCTATTTTATTTCAAAAAAATCTATGTTGGCTTTAGTATATCGTAACACATTTCACATTAACCAGTGGTGCATGGCATCGTGCCTAAAGGCAAATTACTAAAACTATCCTTCACTATACTAAAGCAGATTATTTCTATAAACTTCTTAATTTTTTTGGTTAATAGTCAAATGGAATGAAAACACTATTTAGACTTAGACTCATAAAAGTCAGAAATCACTTTGTTTCATATAAAAATAAAATCCTTTAAAAATATAATATAGACGTAGTACCTAAATATTGCTTTGAGTTTATGTATTGCGAAAATAACAGTTATTTAAAATTTTTAAAAGCTTCAACATTTTTTGAAAATATTGGAAAAAATATTTTTGAGAATCTTGAAGAAAAAAGAACTTTTTTGAATTTTTTGTTTTGCATCTCAATTTTTTTTTTGAAAATTTAAATTTTTTTCTCAAAACAATCGCGCTGTGTAGATGTTTTAGAGACAGATCAGTTCTTCAGTTTGTCAATAAAAGTAGAATGTTTTTTGAATTATTTAAATCGGATGCTCCACTAAATCATCATTTCTGACACTTTTGCCCCGCATCTTCAAAACGGCTGGACCAGCCTTGTCCAGAATCTAATCAGCACGTCTCCTTATTAATAGAAATCGAATGTTTTTTTAAATCATTCAAATCGGTTGATGCGTGTTCTCGAAATCGATTACACATATACACACACAGCCATGTTATCTAAGGTATGCCTAAATGTTAAAAAACCTTTGAAAAGATATGAAAGATCTTTCGTAAAGATATGAAAATTTTCATTTTCAATTTTTTTGCGATTACTATAACCCTACGGTAAGTTAAAGCATAATCAAGCGAAGTTAGAATGAAGGCCCTTATAATTTTAAAAATTATATACTGAATTGCCAATTTAAAATTATTTATTTTGAGTTTATAAGTTAGCTCTAGTAGATACGCCACTAGGTTTATCTACTAATTTGTAATCAACATTATTTTGTCATATACATGTCAACAGTATGCTTAATGTTGTAATATAAACATATTGTCGAATAAAGTTGGCTATTAAAAGTATATAAGTGAGCTTAAATAATTTAATTATATTTTAATTAATATAAAATTAAGTTTATTTTTTTCAAAAATCTTTGTAAATGTTTCTTTTTTTTAGATACTGTTAACAAATAATTGCTGAATGGTGACACAGACGTATATTTTAAATAAATATTTTGTATTTATTTGTTTCTTTTATTTCGACGACTGGCTGAATCATATCAAGACATGCCTCAACGTCGAACAAAAAAACCTAATTAATATATACGTATATATATATATATATATATATATATATATATTAAATAAATGAAGAAATAAATGTAACAAAAATTTTACCGATGCCTCCACTAACCGTTGCGTAAGTGTTTGTTACCTTTTGTTAGAAGATAAACTGAGCACAAATGAAAGCATATTTTTTATAAAGACGAATGTGCTTGAAAGGTGTATAGGTGAATTTCTGAATTTTACCTTTAGCTATAAATTATTATACCTTTACCACGAAGAAAAAAGAAGTCGGATGTAGCAGATACTTGTATTATAAATCGTACATTTACTTAAAAAATGTAAACTATGTAATAACTATCGAGTTTAATAAATAAATCATAACAGAGAAGTGCTTTTAATAATTTGATAGTTTTTCGTCGTTCCAAAAAATATAAGTATACCAATTTGATAGTTTCTCTTCTGTGAGTAATACTTCATTTCGCCAGTATAATACTTCCAATCATAATCGGAAATAATTTAGATAAATTTTGGTTAATAGCATAAATGCCTACAAATATAGTTAGCGGAAGCAATAATTGAAAAGAAACATTTATAATTGTTAAATTGAAAAAAAAATAGATATTAAATTAGATATCGTTAATAAATAGGTACATAACTTAAAATAGACTTACGTAATGCACAACATGGTGCAGCAAAGCCATACCGCACATGACACTCAACCCGAATTCAAAACGAAACTGAGCTCAGGTACCTCCAAGTACTATCGAAGTAATATTAGAAATTGAAAAAAAAGATAAATATTATAATAATGATAACAGATGTCAACACATTAAAATATAATACTATTTTTAAACTACGGTTTAGGCGTATAATATCAACTTTTATTACGTTTATTCTTTAATTTAACTTTAATGGACAAACAATATATTCTTCAGTATTTTCACTACGTATCCATAGTTTCTTTTCTAGAAGTTTTATAAAAAAAATTGTAACACAAATCAAAATAAAACTAGTGGGTTGTATGGCATCGTGCCTTAAGGCAAATTGCTGGAACTTCCCGTACCGTAACGAAATGTTCGAGGAATGCTGAATGTTTTCAAATAGATTATTATTAATATTGTAACATTGTCTAATATTTATAAGAATTATATAAACTGAATTGCAAAGTTGAAATTATTTGTTTAAAGTATATTAGAACTATACAGAATTATAAATAAAATCTGAATTATTTTCGTAAAAGAAAAGATGAAACAATTTTTTTTAAATCAATTATTTTGTTAAGACAAGCAGAAAGTTCTTTGAATCATTTAAATCGAACGCTTAGTTCTCTCAAAAACTGCCATTTTTTACACATTTAGCTCCGTATCTTTGAAATGGCTGGGCCTGCCTTTGCCAAAAACTAATAAACACTTCTCCCAATCATTACTAAATGAAAGTTTTTCAGATCATTCAAATCGGATGCTCCGTTCTCTCAAAAACTCGATTTCTATTTTCTGCACTCTTTGCTCTTTATCTCCGTAACTACTGGACCTGCCTTTGCCAAAAACTAATCAGCTCATCTTCCTATCAATAGGAATCGAATGTTTTTTGAACCATTCAAATCGGTTGATCCGTGCGCTCGAAAACGTGACTGGAAATTTGTATCCATATGTTATACAATCACACACACACATATGGGAAGTTAAAAATATATTTTTTAATATATTTATAAACGTATGTATACTAAACTTTTCACTGGGCAACTAATCAAATTTTCAAAAATAATAGTTTAGATTGCCTTATGCTTATTTTGTCATTGCTTATTGCTAAAACCAAAATTTCTTGTGCATGTGTGAGTGTGCGGAGCGTGTATGACATATTTGATCAAACCTGATATATTTTTTATAAATTGGCTGAAATGATTTGAATAGATTTAATAACATACAATTTGAATTGTAACCCATTGGTTTTTGATTCAGCAGATTTTCCATCAGAAGTTACAAAAGAAAAATATCTTAATGACATATGCATATCATATTATTAGTTTTTCTACTAAGTGGATTTGAAAATGTTGTGTTGAACATCAAATAATGGTAATAAAAAACCAATAAGTGTTTTTAAAAAATGTTTTACTTATTGTCAACTATGTATGCAGTACCACCTTCAGATCATCTATCTACAACATGATCTGGCTTAGAAGATAAACAAACTGACATATAAAAATTAGAGTATCGTAATATAAATTATAAATGAGTGGAATATATGTAAATTATTTATATTATAGATATATATATTAAAATTTATAAAAGGATGAGTGGACAAATTTTGTTAAATAATGTTAAAATGAAAATTAGGTGTTTTTAAATTAACGTGTTGAAAAGAGTGATAATTAAGCAAACAAAATTATTAACCTGCCTCTGATAACATCTTTTCTATAAAAGTTATATAAAGTAACCGAACACTAGCTTTAGTTTAAAATCAAAATTTACATACTGCTCACAGAAAGTCTTATGAAACTTATTTGCAAACTGACTAGCGATACGTATACTATAAATAAATCGCTTTTGAAAAATCTCAACGTATTGAAAGACGTTTTTCTTGTATCCAGTAACGCAGTGAAATTTTCGATAAAAGTCGTGAGACAAGAAATCATAAATTAAATTATAGCAGAGGAAGTGTTGAATGCTCAAGTTTTTTAATTTTCAGTGTAATCATAGTTCTTTAAATCTCACAAATTATAGTTCCCAAGAAATAATCATTTCTAAACCAAGAAATAGCACGCCTGATGTTTACCAAATCACTAAATTGATATCTTGCTGACGGTTTTTAAATTTCCGTAATTGGGCCAGAATTTTTTGCGTAAATGTTGATTCAAATTGTTTAATATAATTATAAATTATTGTAATTATATATAAATAAGCGTATTATAATTACAAATAGTTCAGTTATCACACCAAAGTAATCAACGTGAGTCATTATTGTGCTTAGGGTTTGAACTTTTTTATGCTATGTTTTCTAATAAATACACAAATACATTCATTTAACAATTCTTATGCCGAACAAAATAAAATGAGCAAATCGTATTTTCTGGCAAAGAGATATAACTTCTCATTTGGAATATATAAAAGTATAAGTATAATATTTCTGACTGCAACAGCCCAAATTATATCTTCATTTTCTACAGCCACACAAATCTACTAGCCAAATCCTTGATAAATTGAAAAGAAATATGAGGTTGCATATGATTTATTATTTTGCGTTAAGTATTAATATGTTAATTTATTATAAGAAATAGATTTTTTATTCATTCCATTAAACGTTTCGGCACTTAATGTGTGTCATAATTCAGTAATCAAACCAGGAAAAACACAAAAAAATTATATAACATTTATTGAACACTAAACTTGTGTAAAAGAATATCATAACTAATATAATTAATAAAAGAGAAATTAAAGGAGCACATATTGCCCTCCTATATTATATGATGTTCAATCGTTGTGCATTGAACAAAACTGTCAGTTTTAGAACATTTTAGAACATCATATAATATAGGAGGGCAATATGTTTTTTTAGTTATATTAGTCGGTCATACATTTGGACACTATTGGGGAACTGTAAATGAGCCAGAACAGGATTTTTCAAAATTTTTGACCAAATTTTTGGGTCAGAAATCATTTTAGAGACGTGGTTTCTTTGGCAAAGTATATTATTTTATTCCCTATTATCCGAAACTCATATGCGACTTTTTTAACCCATACAAATCGTCCCGCCCTAATATATATATATATTCATTTCATCATTTTCCAAGTGCAAGTATGTTTGCTTCATCCGAATCTTACTCAATAAGAAACATTGAACCGAACTCCGAGTCGAATGCGTTAATACATATTTTTCAGAATTACAAAAAAATAATCTACTATGCCATTACGAGTGGTAAATTAAATTAACTACCTGCAAGACAGCTCGCAAGATTTACTTTTTATTCATTTGCCGACGCGTAGAACAGATTTTGTACAAATCCCGCCTCGGGTTTGGATTTAATGCACGGAACATGTATCTTTCAACTATTACATGACGCTTTTACGGCAGAAGAACCGCAAACCATATTTATGTGAAAGGTTATGACGGGATGCTTCATAATCACGCGCCGACGCTGATATAAATGGAATTTTCAACTATAAATAGTGAAACAGAAAAATCTATAGAAAATGATATGGATTCGAATATCGATTTTATGGCGTACCTATATACGGATGTAATAATTAACTTCCCGTTGGTAATAGTAATCGCAAAAAATCGAAAATAATTTTTTTTATATATATTTACGTTTTAAAGGTTTCTGAACATTTTAGTATACCTTACAATTAGAAAAAATGAATGTATGTGTGTGTGGTGTATGTGTACGTATGTGCGGATACAATTTTTCGTCGACCATTTTGCCACAGAAGACGGATCAACTGATTTGAATGATTTAAAAAGCAATCGATTCCTATTGATAAAAAGAGCTGCTGATTAGTGTTTGGCAAAGGCAGGTCCAGCCGTTACGAAGATATGGGGCAAAAATGTTCAAATATGGTAATTCAATTTTTGAAAGAACGGAGTGTCTGTTGTGAACGATTTAAAAAACATATCATTTTTATTGACGAAATGAAGAACTGATGAAACTTTTGGGAAGACAGGTCTAGCGGTTCGGGAGATCCAATAAAAATAGTAAAAAAATAGTAAAAATTTGGTGGGCAAAAATGATCATTAGGCATATGCACATCAAATCATCAGATATTTTATAGATATTTTAATAATAAGAACAAGTTTTGTTAACTTCCCGTAGGGCAAGTTATAGTAATCGCAAAAAAATCAAAAATGAAAATTTTTATATATCTTTACGTTTCAGAGGTTTCTGAACATTTTGGCATACCTTAGAAAAAATGGATGGATGTATGTGTGTGTGTGTGTGTGTGTGTGTATGTATGTATGTATGTATGTATGTACGTGTGTGTATGTATGTACGGATACAAATTTTCGTCGACGATTTCGGTAACACGGATCAACCGATTTGAATAATTCAAAAAACATTTGATTCGTATTGATATGAAGACGTGCTGATTAGTTTTTGGCGAAGGCAGGTCTAGCCGTTTTTAAGAGTACCGAAAACGGTAACTCAGTTTTTAAGAGAACGGAGCGTCCGATTTGAATAATTCTAAAAACATTTCACTTGTATTGATAAGATGAAGAATCGATAAAATTTTCATGAAGATAGGTCTAGCGGTTTCGGAGATATGGAGGAAAAAGTAAAAAAATGAGCCATTTGGCGGTCAAAAATGATCATTAGACATATGCACATCAGATATTTTATAGAGATTTTAACAATAAGTATACATTTTGTTAACATTCCTATGGGTTCCGTACCAATGCTTATGCGTTAGACAGCGACGCGGCGCTTACGCGCTTTATATTTTGTCCCTATGCAGTTAAAGCAGTACGATTGCTTTGAAAAAAAAGTTCAGATCTTCCACAATATGTCAAAATAAAGAAAAAAAAATTTTTTTTCAAAAAAAAAAAAATTAAAATTTTAATTAAATTTTTCTTTTTTTTTTAATTTTTTTTTCAAAAAAAAGTAATTTTTTGTCCAATTTATAGTTTCTCAAAAATCTTATTTTTTCAAAAATGTTAATCGTTCTTAAAAAAATAATAATTTTTGGTACGGGAAGTTCCAGCAATTTGCCTTAAGGCACGATGCCTTAATTGCC